GAGTTGAAGTTTACCGGTCTTAAAGTTGCCAAGATTGAGAAACACTGCTCTAGTGTGATGGCTACGGAGTGTTACCTTTTCCCACAGAGCAGCCACTGCCTAGGAATGAAGGATCAGGGGAATTAGTGAGTGTGTTCCCACCAGCCAGCCAGCTTTGCTCCTGGGTTTGACATTCCAAATCCCCATTTTAAAGACATGCACTTAGACAGCAGTATAAATGGGCTTACAGGTAGTCCTCACTTAACAACCATTACTTCGGTGATTGTTTGAAGCGACAAGGGTGCTGAACAAAGGGACTTACAACTGGTCCTCGCACTTACAAACATCGCAGCACCCCCACAGTCATGTGATCGCAATCTGGGTGCTTGGCAACCAGCTCATACTTATGATGGTTGCAGCATCTCGGGGACACATGATCGCCATTTGCGACCTTCCCAGCTGGTTTCCGGCAAGCAAAGTCAATGGAGAACTGTGTGTTTCACTTAATGGCCATTGTGATTAGCTTAATAACCACTGCAAAAAAGATTGTAAAATTGGGTGCAACTCACTTAACAACTGCCCCACTTAACAACAACTTTTCCAGTCCCTATTGTGTTATTAAGCGAGGACTACCTGTAATATCATTTTTAAGAGAAATATAATCAAGACTGTTCCTTCCAACCCCCTCCCCAAGAAAATACAGAAAATCCTGGTTTCTGCTAATGTTGTATGGTCATTTGACCCCCTGCAGCCTTTCTCCTTCTCCCAAAATGTTTACTGTAACTCCCCAGCCCCAAACGATGCCCATTCGGCCTATTTGGTTGAGCTTGGCACCAACCCAAATGGTTGTATTATTTGTGGGGAGAGCAGAGGGCTGGAAGAGAGGGCTGCGCCTTCTCAGTGGTCTTCTTCAGTGGTCTTGGGGCCAGTTCTGCCCCTCCCCTCTTCATTTCTCCTAGTCAACTTTCCATCTCTTCTGCCTTCCCCCCACCTTCCACCTCAGATAAGGGCTCCTCTTGCCTGGGTAGGAAAAGGATATCTGGACGCTGGTACAGCAGGTCCCCATTGTGAATTCATGTTCATGGAAGCATCAAAGGGAGTGTGTTCTCTTTGTTCTCCAAATAAGCGTAGCCAGAGGTGGGGCTGGTTGAGCCTTTTCAGTCTCCACTTCCGGTCCGTTCAGGTCTTGCGTTCCCTGGGCTACATCAACGAAGGAGGAGCCGTGGAGCTCAAGGGGAGCGTGGCCCGTCAGATCAGCAACCATGAGTTGCTCCTGACGCAGCTGCTTCTGGACAATGCCCTGACCGACCTGCGGCCAGAGGAGATCGTGGCCTTACTGAGCTGCACAGTGTGCCAGGTCCGCACCCAAGTGGAGCCCCAGCTCCCCTCTGTCCTTCAGAAGGTGAGTAGGTGGTGGAAGATGGGAGGGATGCAGGGGAGGGCTTGAGCTGTCCTTTAGGTTAGGGGCTCCTGAACGAATCTCCAGCCTCTCCCCCTCTTCCCCCCTCAGGGCATACAGCACATCCGGTCGGTGGCCGAAGAGATCGCCCTGCTGCAGCGCAAGTGTGGCCTGCAAGAATCGGTTGAGGATTTTGTGGAGCAGTACAAATTTGGGCTGGTGGAAGTGGTTTACGAATGGGCCCGTGGCATGGTAAGGGTTCAGGCTCCACCCATTCCCTCCCAGCTGGGGTTTGCTCATCCCATGGGAACCCTCTTTCACTCTCCTACTCTAAGACAAACAGAGCTCCCCTATTTGTAGAGCTAGTCAAGCAAGATTGCTTCTTCCCTATAGCTGACCATTTGGAGCTTTGACTGAAAGGCAGTGTAAAACAATGAGACAAGTTGAGGAGCCCACAGGACACGGTAACAGAAAAAGGGTGGTTGCCTGTCAGGAATGGACTATCTAAGTAACTTTCCTGCAGACCAGAAAGTGTCCATCACTTCCCTACAGAGTCATTAGATCAGTGTTTCTCAACCTTCGAAACTTCAAGATGTGTGGACTTCAACTCCCAGAATCCTATCTATCTATCTATCTATCTATCTATCTATCTATCTATCTATCTATC